ATAAGTTTTCATAAGACTCATCACATTGGATTCTAAAAAGTCTCATTTTATTCTCAATGTCTGCAATCCTATGGCAATAGTCCTCAATTTAACCTCAACAAGAAAAGAATGAGACTTTTTGAAGACAAAATGAGGTTTCCTAAATAATCTTTACTCCTCAAAAGTCTCATTTTGTCCTGATACGGGAAAACCGCGGATAAAATGAGACTTTTGAGTCTTGTAGTTTGAAATATCCCTAAAAATTCTATTGAGATCAAATGAGGACAAAATGAGTCCCAATTTTTTGACTCGGGCAGTCTATAAATATTGAAGATTGATTTTAGTCCTAGTTCTGATCTTGATCAAACGTAAGGCCAAACGGAAAGCCTCTAGCGAACTAAAGAAATATTTTTTGCAGCCTCAAAGAAACCTTCAAAATAACTTAAATATTTTAAAATGGATAATATCGTTCCAAATATGTTCTTTGAGAATTCAGTTGACAAACAGAGCTTAACAAGTGCTCATCTCGTTTTCTTACAAAGGTTCATCTAATGGCTTTCGATCTTTTGTAGGTAACCACGAGGGTGGCTGTAAAAATCTTATACGTGGAACTCCGTCTGATAGCTATTTTCTTTATTTTCCCCCAACGTATCGAAACCAAAGTTGGTATAAAAAAGTGCATTATTAATATTTTCACTTATCCCTCCATTACACTCGAGAAAGATAAAACCCAACAAGCTAATGCAAAATCCATTGCATCAATGAAGTTGGATGTTTGAAAGTGATACGTATGAGACAGTAAATGGAATTTCAGTAAAAGAAAAGTGAAAGAATATACCTATTGAATTTCATTCTTTTTTTTTTTTTGAGAAAGCAAGAATTAAATGTCTAGCAAAAAAGTTCATGTCATTGATATAAGCGGTTTTGTTTCACTGCTTAATGTTTAGTATTAAATAAAAGTTCTTAATATAGTTTTTCGGGGATTTGATTTTGCTAAAAGTTGGGTATCCCAACATTCTACCCGTAAAATAAAAAAGCAAATCAATCAATCGCTTGTAACATCTAACAGCTTTCTTTAATATATTACTAATGCATCATTTCTCGTTTGTAAACCAAAAAAAGGTTTTAATTCGCTGTGGGTTCTATTCTGTCCATAGTTTTTCGATAAAAAAATGTGCATCATTGGTAAATTAGTTAGGATGAGTTTTGTATAGATATTGTCAATTTGGAAGATGATGCCACAGGGCGTGTTTCTTTGCTTATTTTTCTTTTAAATATAATAAAATAACGTCCTGAAGTTTCTTGGCAGGGTCGCCGTGGATGCGACAAGATACTAATACAATTTACCCTTACACTTCCCTTACTACCCCATGTTCTGCCCGCAGCAACAGTTTATTAAGAAGTGAAAAAGAACAAGTCCGTTGGGATTTCTTATTTTCGTTGTCTAAATTATCTTTTCCCTCTGCGGAATTTTGGCAAGGGACGGTTCTCCGTTTTAAGCTCCTGATGAAAAGGAATAAAATAGAATAGAACGAGTCACCTCAAAGTTCACTGCTTAATTTTATTTGAAAGCTGGAATATCGTTCGCGTAATTGTAAGAAATTTGAAGCTAAACTTTACTTAATTTTAATAGGAAGAGTTTATATAATAAACCCTTAATACTTATAACACAAAAGCAGATGTAGTTAAACTGAAATATTTAGCCCTACAATATTTCTAGTGTCTTGATGGAAAGAAATCGCCGTTTCAAAATAATGTTAAAAAAATATACTATCCTTGACACTGAATTTCATATATGTATCTTGAAGTACATATTTATATAGAAACAGGTACTATAATACGACGCCTGACTAATTTGACAACTGACGAAATTTATGCTTTTAATAGGAATCGAGAGATATAAAATAAATAGCTATTAAAAAGAGGATATATTTGTTTAAATAATTCCAATACGAAATAAATCAGCACAGGTATATTTAGCATTTGAATTTATATAGCGTTGGACATAAAAGACGATTTAGTACAGCATAAATTTCGAAAATTAGTGTGTGTACGCGCAATCGAACATGATAAAGCTCTGTTCAATGCGGATATGATGCGGAACTGTGCACTAAATCATGCTCGTTCGAATTTCGTAATTCACTTCATTAAAAACAACGATAATAAACTTTAATTCATTAATATTCGAAATTCATTTTAAAGGGAATTGGCTAAATTTAGTTGAATGGGCAAAAAAAGGAACGTTATCCCTTTTTTATCATGGATCAAAGGAAAGCTTGGCTTAAAAATTCAATATCGCTTAAAAAGGCCATCTTATTTGTGCTTAAAACTCTAAAAAATTAATGACCCTTAAAATAAAAAATCTTTTGGTCGTAAAAAATAATTGGGAGTAAACGAATGTTTATTTGTGTGAATTAAATAGAGTTCATTTAAATCATTTTTTATCTATACGTATACCACGATAACAGAAAATGTCAAAAAACGTCCACATTCAAGTTTTACATTCACGGTAGCTTAGTTTTGAATAGCGCGAATTTTCAAATTTGATTGTAACTTCAACGTATCCTTTAGTACGAAAGTTGTTTCAATTTAACTTTCCGAAAAGTTTTAAACTGCTTATTGCCAACACAACGTGCACGACAATTTGCCCGCAAGTTGGGTAGCCTAATTCCAGTTCTATAGAATAGCATAATTCGAATTATATTGCTATGCATGAAGATCAAAATGTGCAAACGAAGGTGAACCAAACCATTTTTGAAAAAAGAAATATGTGTAGATATAATTTTTTAAATTAAATTTAAAAATAAAAGTTGTTTCAGAAACTCAGAATGTCAACCTTTTCCTACTTAAATTTCATTTCCGATATAATGAAAAACCGGCAATTGTAAACTAATTGTACTTTAATAAATAATGGTGAATGATAAATAATAACACTATGACATTTAAATATATTTATATT